TGGTTCACAATGGGTCCACTGGGACCACAGATCAACTCAGTGGTCATTTACCCAATCCCAAATGTATGATTGCAATGTATATACTTCACAGCTGGGAGTCATTTCCATTTATTGTCCTCGGCCTATGGAGTAAGAGCTGTCACAGGGGGGAAGGCCAAGTAGACATCTTTGAAAATGCCTCCCCTGGCCAAGAGAGTGTATCTAAAACAATATCACAATGCCAGAGGATGGTGGAGATTAATAATACACTTAAGGACATAAAGGATGCAGGAACAGTAGTTCCCATCACACCTTCATTTAATTTGATACTCTGGCCTGTAGAAACCAGATAAATTAACAGAATGATTGTTGACTACTGTAAGTTCAACAAAGTAGCAGCCCCAACTGTAGCTGCCATGCCAAGCAAAGTATCATTATTAAAGCAGGATAACACGGCCTTGGGTACACAGCCACTGATTTGGAAAATGGATTCCCAATCCATTCTCCAATATATCCCAATCAATAAATATAATTAGAAATATTAATATACAAATGAAATAAGCAGGCAACAACATGCATTGACACTTTAGCCCCAGGGCTATGTTAACTCTCCTGTCTCTCTCATAATATAGTCCAAAGAGATGTGGATCATCTGAAAATCCTGTAGAGTATCATAATGATCCATTATATCAATGACATCATGCTGATTAAACAGGCTGAGCAAGAGGTGGCTAGCATGCTGGAGGTTTGTGCCCTGGAAAGTAGGAAATTAACCTTATGAAGAGGTCAGGGATCTGCCCCTTCATTAAAGGGTTTAAATGCCCAGTGTTCTGAGGAGTGCTAGAACATCCCCTTCTCAGTAAAAGACAAATTGCTGACTCTTGCATCCCCTACAAGAAAGAAGAAAGCACAGTGCCTACAAGGCTGCTTTGAGTTCCGTTAAGCAACATACTGCACATCTAGGAATATTTTTTGGGCCCTCATTCCAGGTGACACAAAAAGCTGCCAGCTTTACAAGTTGGCAAAAGAGCTCGACAGCAGGTCTGACTGGTGGCACAAGCGGCCTCGACACTTGTGGTGTAGGATCTGGCACATTCTAGGGTGTTAAGAGTTGTCACTTTTAGAAAAAGACGCAGTATTGAGTTTACGGAAATCTTAGTGGGAGAATCACAGTTCAGGCACCTGGAGTTCTGAAGCAAGGTTCCACACCTTTTAAAAATTAGGTCTTGGCATGCTACTGGAAAAAAAGAGGGAATGTTTGACCATGGGACACTAAACAATACAAAATGAAATATGTCTTGTTGAACACATAAGGTCATAAATTCTGGAGGGCCCAGTCATAATTCATCATAAGATGAAAGTATTATATTTGGGATGAAGCACTAAGAAGATGAGAAGGTACAAACAATCCACATGAACAGACAGTCCAGACCTTGATGTCACCCTTCAGTTGCATCCACACCCCTCTCAGCTTGCACTGATGGCCATATGGGATAGGTGTGGTGTCTTAAACAACAAGCTGAGGAAAGAAAAAAATGGCTGAGCTTAGTTTACAGATGAACTGGCTAAGTATGTGGATGAAACCTGAAACTGGACTGCAGCTACAGTATAGCCTCACTCTAGAATAGCCCTGAAGACAGGAGAGTGACAATCTTCCTACGGGGTAGAGCTTCAGGGGGTGCACCTGGTCATCCACTTTGTATGGGAAGGAAAGAGGCCTAATTGTCAGAGTATAAACAGACTAACAGGAAATGGCAAAAAGCTTGGCTGGCTGGTCAGAGGTCTGAAAGAAAGAGATTTTAAAAATTGCAGACAAGGAGATCTTAAAGGGTTAGAGGTATATGGATATGCATATTGTTGTGGGTAAAAAGTGTGAAGATCTTTTGAACACAATCAATGTCCAAAAGAAAGCATACATTATAGAAGAAGCACTAAACAACCAAGTAAACAAAATTACGCAGCTAGTTGATGTTAGCCTTTGTTCGTGGCCACTCCAGGGCTGGCACATGGACACTTGAGTGAAATGGTCATGGTGACAAAAATGGAGTCCATGCATGGGATCCATGAATATGAAGCCCATTTACCATAGCTGACCTACCTACTGTCTCATTTGCAAGTTCAACCTGCCAGCAAAAGAGAGCAATGCTGGGCTTCTAATGTCATCACTCCTTTAGGAGATCAAGTAGCCATTCCGTGGCACGTTGACTACACTGGAACCTTTCATTCTGGAAGGGGCTGCAGATCCATCCCATGGGAACAGACTACCTATATTGGGTATGTGTTTGCACTTCATACCCACCAATCTTTATCCAGCACCACTATTCGGGAACTTATACAATGCCTGATTCACAGATGTGGAATACAATAAAATATAGCATCCAACCAGATAACACTTAACAGTAAAGGTAGTGTAGGAGGGTGCCTGTGACCATGGGTTCCACTAGTTATATCACATGCTGCATTTCCCAGAAATTGGAAGCCTAATAAAGCACTAGTATGGCCTGCTGAGGGTAAAGTTCAAGCACCCAATGGGAGACAATACTCTACAAGGAAGAGTTGCCCAGGATGCAGGAGACTTTGATATGGGCTAGAGTCCCCATTAGGAACAATACATGGGTCCACAAGACAAGGGATTAAAACAGGATTAGCCCCATTTACCATCATTTCCAGTGACCCATTCCTGCAATACTGAGTTTTGTGGAATTAGAGGTCCTAGTCCCCAAAGGTGTTATATTCTTGTTAGAGAACACAGCAAGAGTCCCACTGAACTAAGCTTCATCTGCTGCATGGGCACTTTAGACTTCTTGAGTTCAGGTACAAGTAGGCAGAAAGAGGAGTCAACACCTTGGTAGGAGAAGCTAACTCTGATCAGCAGGAGAATGTAGGCTTGATGTTACATAACAGGAACAGGTAAGAAAATGTGTGGCACTCAGGTGATGACTTGGGCATCTCTTTGTGCTACCTTGCCCAATAGTGACTATAAATGGGCAAGTGCAGCAACACCTGCATGAGAAGACAATTATTACTAGGGGCTCAAGTGTCTCAGTAACTAGGGTTTTCACACCACCAGTTTAACCACTGAGACCAGCAGAAGTGGTAGCTGAGAGGGAGAGGAATTTAGAATGAATAGTGGGAGAGAAAGGTTCAGCTGTGGCCCAAGACCAACTGCAAATATGGGTACTGTAGTTTGTTCCACTAACTTTTGTAAGTTTCTCTTCAGGAAAAGAGGCCACTGGAACCCCATAGGAATTACTCCCTGAATGTATATACAGAGTGGATCTAAACAGTGCAAGGGGTGGACTGTGACAGACGAAGAGATAATCTACTCAGATACCTTTTCAAGAAAAGGCTCTTTGCTAGGAGTGTGGTTAGGTGACAACCTTCAACTGTTAACACTTCCAAGCACATCTCAGGTTTTGAATGGAGTCCACATTTTCCTTGAGGTGGGTCTAGCCAGTGACTGAGCAGGACTGTGTTACAAGGGCCGAGCCATTTTATCCCAGTGTGGGACTCTTCACCTTTGCTCTGGGGTTACCCATGCCCCATCCAATTTCCTCCCTCTTCCTTTTACCATTTTACATTCCAAACCCTGTATCATAGTTTGCTTCCTGGAGGAAGCAAATTCCAAACGATAAACCTAGTCTTTTCCAGCTCCATTTAGCTCCCCTAGCTTCAATTCTAACTTTCCTATTTCTATTGATAATTGTAGAGGTGGTATTGTGCTTTTTTTTTTTCAGATATGGATACAAATGTTTACCAGATTCATCTCCTGTGCCCTGTATTGGTACAACCGAAATCTAGTCACTTAAATATTTAGAGACACCAAAAGGTACTTTAACTATGGTCAAATATGTTAACTATGGAAAAGAATAGGTAATACTGTTATGTAGTAGGAATTATGTCACATACATCAAGTGTATCAGCTAATTCATTCTTAAAAGTATTCTATGAGGTAGGTACTAATTTTTTTCCTTACCTAACAGAAAATGGGCACACAGTGTTGCCCCAGAAAAATCAACCAGGAGTACATCAATAGAAAGAGTTAAACATAAGTAGGCCTGCTCCAGTGCCTTTTTCTGTAATCACTATACCCTTCTGCCTCAAAAAAAAGGGGGGGGGGGTCATTAGCATGAGTACTCTAAAATTCTAATAGAGAAATGTTTGGAGAAACCAGGCCTGGTGTATAGAAGGTTGGGGAACATAAAGATACAGTTGCTTTAGGAAAAGAGAGTTTCCAAAACAGTAACAAGGAGTTGAACTTTTAGATTTTGTTACTATTGAAAAGTAAAGAAAACTATTTCACTGATTACCTCTGATCTCTGCACAGTCCGCTATTTCCAAATTGGCCAGCCAGTCTCCTTATCCTCAGGATGTCTTCCCAGCTGGTACCTTAAACTCAAACAGAGGCATCACCCTCTTTACAAAACTAGCTTCTCCTCATTACTTCACTTTGTCTGTGGTCCCATTCCCGTAGGCTTGAAATCTTGGAACTTTATAGGCACTTAACGCTTCTAACAGTTTGGCTTATACAGATTCTTTATATAACCCCACTGAAAAGAATCTGAAAAGGTGTTTGCTCTTCTTAAGATTTTCACGGAAAAGTGACTAGAAAGGTTTATTTTTTGCCAACTGTCGAGAACGAGCTTTAGAGTAAATTTTGCCAGAGCCTCATCACTCCCAGGTTTCAGACGAGCCGACTGGATGTCTCCGGCGCCTACCCAGAAGAACTACAATTCCCGTCGTACCTTGCGACCTTCTCAGCCTTAAAAAAAAAAATTACAATTGTTCACGTCATTTCCGCCCTCACAGGCGGCGGATGCTGGACTTGGCAGTTTGAATTAACTTCTCTTTTGTCGCCGTCTTGGAATAAGAAAATTAAAGCCGGACCAGCTGCTCTAAATTTGGTATTACGATAGGGCATTTAAAGTAAATTAATAGGATGACGTTTTAAAGTGAATTTAGCGTCAGGTTTTTATGTATTTCACGTACCGCCTTACTCGCACTGCCGGGCCGGGAAGGGGAAGTGACGTGCATCCGGTGTAATGGCGGCGCGGTGTAGCTCCAGGTAATTACCGAACTCCGTAGACTCGCCTCAGGCAGCGAACCGGAGTGGGGGTGGCGAGTTGCCGGTCCGGGTGGGAATTGAAAGGGGACCAGGAGTGGGTGCCGGCTGGCTGGGACCGCCGTGGACAGCGCCGGGTTGTGCATGGCTCTCCTCTCGGCGCCCGCAGACCCGCGAGGCTGAGGTGTGAGAGCCGGCAGGGCGGAGGAGTCTGAGCGTGAACTCCGTCCCTGACTGCGCGGACGAACCTAGCTCATTGGTGAGGTTCCTGCAGCTGTCTCGCCGTGGTGTTTTTGTTGCTGCAGTCTAGCGCGGCGGTGGGCCTCTTCTGTCGGAACGGATCACTTAAAGTTTCTCCAGTCGTTTTGGGCTTCCCAAGGCCTCTTTCTTAGTGTCCGGATTCCAGGCCGTGGGAGTGGGATTAATGAACTGTAGTTAATTAAAAAGTAGCGGAAGTTCCACTCTTATGCCTCCTTCTAGCGTAATATACCTATGACAGCTTCTTTAAAATTTCATTAGTCGTTTCTTTTCCATTCATTTGCCCCGTAAATAAAGATGCTTTCTAGTGTTTACTCCTGGGACTCTTCGTTCCTCATTAAGTGAGCTCTTTGTCCCCTTTTATCGTTGATCTACTTCCAATAAGGTGATACTCCCCAACTTGGGCCTTCAGTGTGTCCAACTAGCCAGCTCCGGATCCTACAATACACTGGTACATATCAGTCATAGTTAATTTCTATGAGTCTAACTCCAATAATCGCTTTACTTATTTTACCTTAATCCTCTCGACTTTTTGAGATAGAGAAGGAAACAATTTGAGAAAGGTTAAGGAATTGAAAGGATGGTAAGAGTTCCCTTTACATTTTTAGGTGTCCCACAGACTAGCAATAGCAGATAGAAAAACAAGCAAATTTGGCCTTCAGAAAACTACTTAACCTGCCTCCTCCTTATCATATTTAAGCTTGTTTTAGGATTGCCTGTGAACTTGGGAGTTAACCTCAATTATCGTCCTACTGTAGAAAAGCGAATTTAGATTTGGCATTAAAAGTGTGACTTTGTTCGCAGAAGCGTTGTGACAAGCAGCATCTGTAGGAGAAGACCTACTTGTTGATGCTGGATGATGTACTAGTAAACCAAAGATTCGGTACTTAACTAGGTCCCTTGGGGCACGTTACCTATCATTTGTAGTCTCAGCTCCTTCACCTGAAAAATGTGAATGATAATAATATCCAACTTCATGAGTTGTTTTGAGGATAAAGGAAAATGATGGATATAAGGCACTATGCATAGTGCCTGACATACAATGTTAGCTATTATTGTTACTGCTGTGATATAGTTGATGAATTCTCTTGCCTCATTTCTTTTCCTTTAGTTTTGAAGGTTGCCCTTCCACTTTTAAGTGCCCATGCCACTTTCATGGAGCATTTCCCACTTTATTTGGCTGGGGTCTGGTTTACTGTCCTCCCTGATGATTGCACATTGCCAGGTGATCTACATTAATTTGTACCTGAGACCATCTAAGAGAGCACACAATTATAATGTTGGTGCCCTAACTTAAACATTACTTTCTGTTTATTACCCACTTGTATCGAGACTAAATTTTGTACTACCTGGTATGTCCCTAACTTGGTATAAGTTAAGGCTGGCCTAGAGCTAGTTTAAAAGAGAGGTGGTTATTGGTAATATAGCTGATCCTACTGATGACTCCATGGGCTTCCTTGTTGCATTTCTCTACCATCTAAATTTGAAAATTTTAGCGTGGGAAGGTGATAAAACAAAAAGGCCTCTGGCATATTAGTTTCAGCAAACTTCTGGACTTACTAAACATGTAGCCTATATATTTTATCAGTGTATTCATTTCCCAAGTGAATTTTGGAAGAGATAATTCATTGCCTACAACAGAGTGCAAATTTTCAAAGCATTTTCTTAAAAAATAATACATCAGGAGAGGAAGCAATGGATTAAAGCAAGCCTTTGCTATTTGTAGCCAAGTTAGTGAGTCTTTTCCCAGAGAACAGATACCAAAAGGGTGGCATAAGCTGCCTTGGTCTGGAGACATTAGGGCTCCTGTGATTATAGAAGCTAATGGGAGCCAAATTATGCAAAGAGCCCAAATGTCCATTGAGTGATGAATGGATAAAGAAGATGTGGTATATATATTATATTGTGGTGTATATATATATATATATATATATATATATTACCCAGCCATCAAAAGGAATGAAATCTTGCCATTTGCAGTGACCTGGATGGAGCTAGAGTGTACTGTGCTAAGCAAAATAAGTCAGTCAGAGAGGACACCTGGGTGGCTCAGTTGGTTAAGCATCTGCCTTCGGCTCAGTTCATGATCCCAGGATCCTGGGATTGAGTTACATATCGGGCTCCTTGCTCAGCAGGAAGCCTGCTTCTCCTTTTGCCTCTCCCCCCTGCTCCTGCTCTCTCTCCCTCTGACAAATAAATAAAATCTTTTTTTAAAAAAGAGAAAGACAAATACCATATGATTTCACTCATAATTGGAATTTAAGAAACAAAACAGATGAACATAGGGGAAGGAAGGGAAAAATAAAATAAGATAAAAACAGAGGGAGACAAACTATAAGATACTTAACTATAGGAAAAAACAGTGTTGCTGGGGGGGAGGTGGACAGGGAGATGGACTAAATAGGTGATGGGTATTAAGGAGGGCACTTGTGATGAGCACTGGGTATTACATGTTAAGTGAAGAATCACTAAATTCTACTGTTGACTAACATATTTAAATAAAAACTTGAAAGATAAAAAATAAAATAAGAGAAAATTCATCTTGGGGGAAAAAATAGAAGCTAATGGGAGGAAGAAACTCAGTGAAGATTCATATTTTTCTTCACTTTGGGCCTAATTCAGATGGCTCAGGATAGACAGAGTTTAGCACTTCCAGATGAAAGGTCACCCTGTGAGTCCTTTCCTCAATTTTATCAAGACAATTTTATTCTACATTTGGTGACAAGTGCCTCAGTAATGGAATATAGTGCTGTGTGTCTGGGGGCTACTTCATAAATTTCTCAGTGGAGGCCACCACTTCCAAGTTTTCTTTAAAAACCCTGGTTGTGGTTTACTAAATGGCTCTTTAATAATCAGAAAGGCCACTTTAAAAGCTGTGCTGTGAGTGTTGGCAGAATATATTCAACCCATATACTTATTTAGGCAAGCAGAGGAACTCATTTTTGGGGAGAGGGAACAAAGTGGTATGAATGTTTGAAGGCATGAAGTATATTCAGTAATTAGATGTGGTTTTGTAAGTTGAAGTAACTACACCTTCAGGTTCAGATTTCCCCTTGGAATGCCTTTAAAGGAACTGGTATTTCTTTCATCTCAATAGGGAAGTTTATTCAGGCAGCTCTCCAGGTTAACGTGGGGTGAAGACAAGGGATGACACTTGATAGTAGTGCTGTCTTGCAGTTGATGACAAACAGCTTGGGGGTTCCTAGAAGTCGGGGTTGATAAATGAGACAAGTCTGTTGTGATAGTCTTTGGTAAAACACCTGTCAAAATATCATTATAGGGAGTTCTTTGTAGGAAGAGATACGGATAATCATTAGAAGTCTACATGCCCCCCATATTTAATTTTAGAATTGGAATCTATAAAGTGGCAAGCACTGTCCTAGGTTCTTGATATATGGTAGTGACCAAGAACCTCAAGAATCCAGTGGTCTCATACAAGGTCTTTCATGCTTTAGCTTCTTGAGTCTCATGTTCCATCTCATTTCTGCTCAATCTTCTGTACATACCCTGTACTCTGCTCAAATCCCCTAAACTCTTTTATATCTGGAGTCTTTACACATGCTGATTTCATTGCCTGAATGACCTTTTTCTCCTCTCCATGTGCGAAATTACCTTTTCCCCCTCTTCTACTTGTTCTTCGGAATTCAACTTCTAGAACCACTTCTTTCTGTATGCCCCAGAACCACTTAGTTGCACTTCCTCTTTTCCAGAAGTACTATGTCTATAACATTGCTACAGCACTTAGACTTTTCTTCTCTGCCTGAGGATAGGAACTTTCATCTCTCAGACATCAGTGCCTTGTGTGCAGCGTAATGTATGTATCACCTCACTATTCACAGACACTGCCTTTAATCTCTCTTCTTAATTTGTTTCCAAAGAATAGGGGGTAAAGTAAAAAACCAGGAAGAAAAAGACTATGACCATACTTCTCTTTTTCTTAACCTTATACTTTCTTATTTTTTCTATAAGTGCTTTACTATACAACTTCTTAATGTAATTATCAGTTTTGGCTCCATCCTCGTTTTTTTTAGTTCTGTTTACCTGTTTGTGTTGTACAAAGTTTCTCAATTTTTTATGACCTCACAAAAGAGTCTCTTCTGCACAAATTCAAACTTTAATGCAAAATGGAAAAGGAAGCATTCAGTGGGTGATAAGAAGCACTAGAGCTGTTTCTTTACTACAAGGCTGTTCCTTTACCATTAAGTGGTGAGGGTTATGGTATTGATTTGAAATTTAAGGTTTTGTCTCTTCTTTGTGATGATGAAAATGGATGTAAATTTAGCTTAATCACTAGACCAAGAAAACCCATAATGATAATATTTGTTCAATGAATGAAGATGCTGGAGTTAATGAGGAAAGTTAAATCCTGTTGCCATGCAGTTGAATTAAGAACCAAGGGGTATATGGGCAAGATGAGGTGGGCTTAGGAGGATGTAAATACAAGTGATTGAGGGTGCAGTAGTAGCAGAGATCTCCCTTAGGATTTGTTTTTATTCGGTGATTAGAGGAGTGCTACTGAACAACAATCATATGTAGAAACAGATTGTTAATAATTGAGCCATTGAGACAGAATTTCCATTTTAAAAACTTAGAAGGTAACTTGGAAAGCATGAAATAATTTTGAATATATTGTGGTAGGATGTGCTTTTAATTTAAGGACTAGGCTTCCCTATGGATAGCTTTGCAGATATTTAAAGGTACCTTTTGTCCTGTATGGGTGGAATACAATGAAACCTGACCAGTTA